CCGAACTGTGGGTGAGAGTATCTGGAATAACCCCAAGCTCCGTCTGGAACCTAACAGGATCCATCAGTCGCTTGGGGCAGAACCAGCTAGTCGGTCCCTCCTCCCTACAGTGGGGGTTTGGCCTCCGGAAGTCTAGCCTCAGTAGGTAGTGGTCTGACCACGACAGGGGTATGATCTCATTACCCCTCAGACCAAGATCGTAACTCCACTGCTCCGAGAGGAATACGAGGTCAAGCGTGTGACCCGCTGACAATTTGGAAGTGATTAGTCCTAACAATTTGGAAGTGATTAGGCTGACCTCTCTAGTTTAATGCTTTTCCCTTTGCTATCTGGCTCTGTGGGTGGAAATTGCTTTGCCACCCAGTTCTTGTGTTTCTTATTTTAGTGTAAGGTTTTATATAAGAACATTAATTTTGTATGTGCCAACTTTAGATTTGAAAAACAGTCATCACAGAATATAATTCAGTCTCAAAGAGTTAACACAGTACAGGTAGTTCTTGACTTATAACAGTTTGTTTTATGACCATTCAAAGTTACAATGGCATTTTAAAAAGTGACTTATAAACATTTTTCACACTTACGACCATTGCAGCATCCCTATGGTCACATGATCAAAATTCAGATGTTTGGCAACTGATTCATATTTATGACAGTTGCAGTGTCCTGGAGTCTTATTAACAGCTTTTGCGACCTTCTGACAAACAAAGTCAATGGGGAAGCCAGGTTCACTTAGCAACTTTGTCCTTAACTTAACAACTGCAATGATTCAGTTAACTGTGGCTTGAAAGGTTGTAAAATGGGCCAAAACTCAATAAATGTCTCACTTAACAACCTAAGTTTTGGGTTCAAATAAGTTGATGACTACCTGTAGTCAAACAGTCCAAGGTTGATATTTCTACAAATTTTCATGATACAGTAAATTGCTAGACAAAAGTGCAGCTACTGTACAGTCCAGTATTGAAGACACCAAAAGTTTTGAATAAATAGTTGAAATGCAAAAGATAAAGTAACAAGGTCACCAGTGCCAAGAAAATGTAGAGTGGAAATATTTCTGCTTTGTAGCCTCATAGCCTTCTAAATTTGGCTCAAACCTTGGACTTAATAGTGACCTATTTTTAAGTAAGGCATTATTCCTGAGAAAATTATTTGCTGAACATTGTTGATCCTCTTTGCTCTTTGTGTATCATAACATGGACATTCCTGGTTGAATTTGTGGACTAGGATTAGAGTTCACAAGGAACAATTTGGTTCTGCCTCCATAGGGTTGTACTGGGTCCTTAGTTTTTATATGAAAAACATATAAGACATCCATCACATCTATATTCAATTCAATATCTCCTTCCATCAGATGATTTCATGTTGCTACTATGTGCATCCTTACAAAGGCAGACATTTGAAGATGAGAACAAGGCTGCTGTACGCATCATGGCTGGAGACAATGTAGAAATCTGCATGAACCTTGAAGCAGCTTCATTTAGTCAACACAATCCTGTTCCTGATTTTATTCATTGCCGGTAAGATCTGGATAATGACTATTGGCATTGATCACACAAGTACTTATATTACTTCTTCACATAAATCATATGCTCTTTGTGAGCTTTGAACTAGAAAGGTGCAGAATTGTATTTCTGCAACTTTACTGCAGTTGTCACTCACGCACATTGTCTGATATTGCTATTTTCTAAGGTGAGGTAAGATTATCAAATACCAAAATTTTATTTTTTACTGAGAAAATAAAATATATAAAATTGCAGGATAATCAAATGCAAATTATTTAATATATAAAATTGATAAAAGAATTAAATGATGTTACATAATTTCTATCTGATTGTCCTGCAAATAGAACAAGTGCCTGTAACAGAATAAATTCTCCATTTCCCTTCAGCTCTTCTTTATTTTTAATATATTTATGGTAGTTAGGAACAAATTCCTGGAAGAGAACAAGACAAGTCTTGTTGCATGATAAATTTATGTAGCATTGATTACATACTATATTCTAAAGTACATTGCATGGTCCCAAATGAAAAGACATTGCAAGAGCCCAATTTCCTACAGTCAGATGTCTGAATTTATCAGTTTCATGATAAATTACATTACTATAAATGTTACTGTTTATAATAGTGAAAAAGTTCATCTATACTTTCAAAGAATCATTGCTTTTGCATGGAAGGAAGGAAGGAAATTGTTGGCCACCTGAAAAAGCTAGTGCAACCTTACAATTTCTCTATTACAAATTTTAGAATCTACACCCAATGTTTAGATAAACTCTCTTTAATTTACCCAAACATTATCAATGAGACAAATAAAAAAGTGAACAGTTGAAAACAATGCTATCAAAACAATAATTACAATAGCTAGCTATAATTATAAAAATATGAATTAATTTTAAATTTGTTAATTTAGCATAAAGTATGAATGCCCTGAGTCGTCCTCTCAAAAGTAAGCAACTTGCACATTGCAATTAAAACAAAACCTCATCAAACATGCAGAGGGGAAAGTGGGAATTCTGTCAAATCTTTTGGATTTTATTTATTTTTCCTGAGCAAACTGATAGCAAGCAATTGCTTTGTCACAAGATTTGAGAAGCGTTGTGATGCATAAATTTCAGTGTTGTGTGTGTATATGTATTCCTGTCAAATATAACCTCAATGCAACCATTAGTTTTTTTATTCATCAGTAATGGTGGGATGTGTTATAAATTAATTTACCATATTAGGAGCTCTCTGCATCACAGTTTGAAAACCCCCTGTTTGATGGATAATGTTTTCTTGTAAACACATACTCATTTCATCAATATGTAATATATGTTTATATGAATAGGCTTATATCACTTTATTGTACATTAAAATGTGTATAACCTGAGCATAAATCTCTCTCATTCTTACTTTGTTTTGCAACAGATCCTATCTAGACATGGGTAAAGTGGTTATGTTCAGTTATCTCTTTTGGTTTGTTCTCACTATCATCTTTATAACGGGAACCACTCGGATCAGTATATTTTGCATGGGTTACTTGGTAGCCTGTTTTTATTTTCTACTTTTTGGAGGAGAACTATTACTGAAGCCAATCAGAAGCATCCTTCGATATTGGGATTGGCTGATTGCATATAATGTCTTTGTGATTACAATGAAAAATATCTTATCGGTAAGTATCTTCCTTTTTGTGAAATGATTATTAAATGTTTCTGAAGATAAATATATAGTTGTTATTTTACCTTTTTTTAATAGTGCAGTGAATAGTCCAGACTAGTTCATCTTTTTCTTGCTTTCTAGAAACCATTCAACTCTTGATATCAAAGTGTTGTGGTTATATATAAAACAGTGTTTATCTACCTTAGCAAGATGTATTCCTATCCTGGGACTTGATATTCATACATTGTAAAATTGCCAAGATCAAAATTGCCAGAGTACTGGGGATAGTGGCTGAATATTGAAAATGTTTATTTCCATTCTTTCCTTGCCTTTGAGATTTCTTCAAGCTCCATTCCAAATTGTTTGGAGTTCTAAACAGAAACATCAATTAATGTTTATCATTGCAGTTTTAACTGCAGTTTCCCTCTTTGTACTGAGAAATCTACCACACAGTTGATGTCCCTGTTTGTATCTGATATGGTCACAAATTTGAATTAAAAAAAGAAGTGGTATTTTGCAGTATTGATACTGAACTAGTTACTAGTTCAACTAGTTTTGATTTATTGTATTTATGACACTTACAATGAAAGAGGTCAAACGAGGTATAAGATTATTTTAAAAGTTATAGAAGAAAGTATTGCACTGAGCATATTCAGTTGAAGTGTTACAAACATCAAAGAAAACAATAATTGAATTTATCTTTTTTATCTTTGTGTAAACAGTTATAGCTTGTAGTATTGATAAGCTTTTATTATATTATATTATATTATATTATATTATATTATATTATTTGCTTATCTAGTGAAATATTATAGAAAAAATCGCTGCACTGAGCATATACATTTTAGTTACAAACACTAAAGAAAAGAAAATTTCAATTTTTCTATTTATTTATTCCAGATAGGCGCATGCGGCTACATCAAGTCATTGATCAACAATAGCTGTTGGGTGATTCAAGCATTCAGTCTGGCTTGTACAGTTAAAGGTTATGACATCCGTAAGTTTAGACATAAAGTTATTTGTATGCTTCTTTTTAAAATTCCATTAAAGTCTTTCAAATGCAATCATTAAAAAACAATAAGCAGACTTGTTTCTGTCTCTGAAATTGAAAATCATTTTGTTATTTTTATAGTAAAGTGTAGAATAATTCAGATTTGGAAAATAAATGGTTGGTGGAAAAACATTTTTCTCTGAGAATTTGGCACCATTTTTATATATTTTATCTAAGATAGGCAGAGTTTTTTAGTTTTTTATTTTGAAGTAATAGCATAGACAAAGCATACTCTAACAGGGATGTCAAACTCGCAGTGTTACGTTGTCATCATGTGACGTGATGTGACTTTTCCCCCTTCGCTAAACCAGGTGTGGGCTTGGCCAGTATGTGACGCATCTAGCCCATGGGCTACAAGTTTGACAGCCCTTCTCTAACCAGATGTTGTATCTGATAATTTCATCAGTTTGTTTTTATTTGTAGATTGTATTTTGTTATTCATATAGATGTTGGACCTAATCACTACAAATATTATACTACATTTTTAAAAATTATGTTTGCTTTATTTTTCATGTCTTTCCTATTTAAAAACTGCTTATTAATTTCAGCATTATATTCTTGGGAAAACGTCTTGTGTTATAACCCTGTTGTGATTCATGTCACTTTGGTATAGAATGAAGAACCTGTATATAAGTAAGTAGTTTAGCACAAAGACTACAAGAATAGAAGAGAAATAGGGATCTTCCCATTGTGACATCTTCAGTTCTATGGCTCTCTGAGATGTTCCATTAAAGGAGATGGTGCATTTATCTTCCAGTTGTTTCCTGGATTAGAATTTGAGTTGGGACACAGGAGAAATGTACATATTTATCTAGAGTCACAAATAGATAATTCTTCTCCTGCTCCATCTTTATGATGTTTAAATCTTGTAGACATGGATTGAAAGTTCCTAAACCTTTTTGTTCTCTTCAGAAAAAATCTTGCAATATTTTGATGCTTATCCTTAATGCTTGTTCTTGTCAGCTTTGGATGATCCAGAGTGTAAATTGCCAAGTGGAGAGGCAGGAATAATCTGGGATAGCATTTGCTTTGCTTTTCTATTGCTCCAAAGAAGAGTTTTCATGAGTTACTACTTCCTTCATGTTGTTGCTGATATTAAAGCTTCACAGATTCTGGCTTCCAGGTAAAGTGAAGCGTTGTATTTTAATAAATGTATAGATTCATGCAGACATGTATTTTGATTAAATATTATGTAAACTATAAAAGTGAAATGAAATATGTAATTTGTCTATATTAATCAAGGAAAGTTCTTATCACAGAAATGAAAATTCATATATTGATTAGGAAAGTCAATCTTATGAAGTATGTATCAGAATGTTTTCCTTATTCTCACTGTTTCAGCCAATCTGTTGAATCAGTTTCACCTTTGGTTTCCATCTTGGTGGAAAAACTACAATTGTGACTGTCATCCTATCTGTTTGTGTTGCATTATTTTTTTCCTAGTATATATGTATTTATTTTTCCAGAGGTGCTGAACTCTTCCAGGCCACAATTGTGAAAGCTGTAAAAGCAAGAATTGAGGAAGAGAAAAAATCAATGGATCAATTGAAGAGACAGTATGCTTTTATTTTCTCTTAAACATTCCTTTCTGGATGTTGTCATATAACACTACTACATTAATCAGAGAAAAAGTACTTAACCATTACTTTATTGATGTTGCTACAGAAGGCAGTGAGAAACTTTGGAATTTTGAGAGTGTCTCGTGAATATTATAGTTCCATCTACCAATACAAGACACAGATGTCAAATTTGCGATGTCACATTACCATCACATGAAGTTTTGTGATGTTTTTTCATGGAGCAGGGGTGGGCGTGGCCAATGCAAGACACATCTTGCCCATGGGCCGCTACTTTGACACCCCAATCTAAGACAGAGCTAATAACAAAATGAGTGAAAGTCAAGTAAGATATGAAACCCCAAAACATGTAGAGAAACATAGTAGTGATTACAATGCTATATACTGTACATAATAGTCCAGCTGAAACATCTGTACCTTATAGCCATACTTTAGAAGACAATGTACAATCCTGAATGTAAGTTTACATAAGCTCAAATACCTATGAGTACAGAGGTTCTGTTGACACCCCCACACCCCAAAAAAAGATGAGGAGAAAACACAAGAGGAAATATTACAGTTCTTCTGCAATTTATAATATAGGGGAAAAAATCAGGCATTTCCATCCAAAGTTCTATACAACATTGTGTAATTTATTTCTTTGCTAATGTTTATTGTAATATAAGCCTAAATGTAATGTCATTTGATAATATATTAAGAATACCATATAATATTTTAAAATCCTTGGAACAAAAAATGATATTCAATGATTTTTTGGTTTGCGGAAATACCACCCCAAGAAAATATAAATTAAGAGCTGGAAGAGACACCTGCAACAATAGAAAAAGAAAGGAAGAGAGGAGGAGAGGAAATGAGAGGAAAAGGAGGGAAGGAAGAGAGAGGTGAGGAGACGAAGATGGAAGGGAGAAGGAGAGAGGGTAGGAAGGGGAAGGGGAGAGAGAAGTAGGGGAGAGGTAAGGGAAGAAGGAAGGGAAGGGAGACGAGGAAACAAGAAAGTAGAGAAAGGAGGTAGGGAGAGAAAGGAAGAGAGGAGAGGAGATGAGAGGAAGAGAAGGGAAGGAAGATAGAGAGGAGGAGAGGAAGATGGAAGGGAGAAGGAGAGAGGGTAGGAAGGGGAAGAGGAAGAGAGGAGGAGGAGAGGTAAGGGAAGAAGGAAGGGAAAGGAGGAAGGAAGGGAGTAGAGAAGAGAGGGAGGGAGAAAAGAAAGGGAGAAGAAGGTGGTTTCAAAACAGGCGAGAGATGGTAAACAAAGCAACCCAAATGGAATATTATAATTCTATAAATGGAATGACAAATGTATAAGAACCATGAATGTAAAAAAAGAATAATAACTATGTGAATGTATTCCTATAATTGTATATAGAGAACAAAATTTTAAAAAAAATGTTAAAAAAAAGAATACCATATAATATTTTAAAATCCTTGTCCTCTTTGGGTTCACAAAGATAATACTTGAATTCTGAGAGTGCAAACTCTCTTTTGACAGGATGGATCATATCAAAGCTAGACAACAGAAGTATAAAAAGGGTAAAGAAAAGGTGCTGAGCATGAGTGAAGAAGCCTCGGATGTGCAAGAAATTCAAAAGGTTGCTGAAGAAGATGATGATGATGGTACTATTCCTTCACTATATCCGACGTTGGTATTTATTGTTTGGACCTTAGTATTAGTAACATGAATATATATAGGAAAGTATAGTGCCTCATCCAGACATTTGTTGGGTGGACTTCACAATCTGCTCTCTGCATATTTACTTGGGAATAACTCTTACTCTCTTCCCATGGTATCCCTCTCTTACCCTTCCTTCTCACTGGAGAGGAAGAATAACATTTGGTTATCTACAAAAACATGTTGTCCCTTTCTATGAAGAGCAGGGGTTGGGATTGGAACGCTAAAGTATAATGTAAAATTCTAGAATATAACAAGCTTTCAGGCCTTATAAAAATTGGCATTTAGAGCACAGTTCAGCTTGGAATTTGAACTGGTTTTCTATATGATACTTAAACAATTTTAGAATAGCAAATGTTTTTATCTTATCAGATTTTTCATTTGAAGCAAAATTTGAGTCAAGAAACGTATTTTATAAATTCAAATAGATATTTTGGGTTTCAGTTGTTTGTGTTCGTTTTTATATAATAAACTTTAATTTGCTGCAGCTTAGTTTTGATTTATAATAAAGAACAAGCATTTTTTAACAATTCCTTAAATATAGAAAAATTTGAAGTCCAATTCTATTTTGTCTCTATGTCAGAGTAGCCAGGTTCTATGAATAGAGTAGTTATAATAATAGTAAGCAAAAGCTTTTTGTGTTTTGTCTCTTGAAAGTATTAGAATTGGGTCTGCTCTTACGCAGATTGCAAAAAATGGGGGGAAAATATAAGACATAATAATGTTTTTCACTTTGTAAAATTAATGTTTGGACATATTTCATTTTAGGAGAAGCAGACAAAGAAAAAACCAAGGGCAAAAAAAAGCAGTGGTGGCGGCCTTGGGTTGATCATGCTTCCAGTAGGTTTCTCAATCATCTTTAAAGTACATGAATTTAGCCCTTATATCCTTGACCAGAATGGAGGCATTGCCAAGACCTATTTGTTTTATGCATGGTTTTAGACTTGTGACTTGATAGTCATGTGGAACCAAAAGATTTCACAGAGAAAAAATGTGTTTCTTTTGGGGCACTATATGCTGATGCAAGTTCCAGTTAGCTCCTTAAGCAAATATTCACTATGTGAAAGAAACATACAGTAAATATTTTACAACTATTCCTGCTGTAGCAAAAATACCTATGCAATTGTTTAACAAATATTCCAGATTTTTGTCTCTGTCAAGTCACAAGTAAACTGTGCCTATGCATATATATAGATATGTATGTGTGTGTGTGTATGTGTTTACATATATTTATGTTTCTAAAGGGCATGATGAAAATTTATAGAGACCTATCCTATTTTCAAATGGTTATTGAAGACCCAGTGTTTTTTTACTTTTCAGAAAAACAAATCATTGCAAGTAATGTGTTTTGAATCTGTAGCTTTTCCAAATGGACCAGGATATGGTCTCTGTTAATCCTCATTAGTTTTGCTGTGACAGAAAAATAGTTGAAATTCAGATAATAAGAATGACTCAAAGGCTTTACCTTTAAAAGATAACCCAGGTTATCTTTTGCAGTGGATTTTATTCCAGGCAGAAAGTGGTGTGAATTAGTATACTTACCCTGCTTTCTCTTATAGTCTATTCTGTGAAAGTGACCTGCATCCATACATAAACTTTGTTAAATTATTCCAGCTCATTTCATTCTTTCTGATTCATTTTACCCTCATTACATGTTTTAGGAAACCACTATAGAATCCATATTATTGCAATAATGCATATACTTGTGAACCGCAACCTGTGGCCAAGCCCTGAAAATGAATACTATCCACTAGTATTATATGCCCTTTTAAAATAATTATCCACAGAACTGTAATTCCATATTTGGTGAGCCAATTTCATTTCTAAATATTTTAATATAATATTTGAAGAGTACTGTTGTATCTCAACAGAAAGTGTCCATTATCTTATGCCTTCTGTGCTGACATAGAATTCTCAGGGCTTTTCTTCTGCATGGCATGAAAAACATGTTTTCACACACCTGTTGCTGTCTAGAAGTCTCCAAAACATGTGCAAGAATTAGTCTGTGGAGAAGAAAATAATGTTGTTTCACTGGTTTACTGTCTGTACATCCTCCATTTCAATGATCAGTTACAACCGATGTGTGAAGAAATGGTTTGTAAGTAGAGACATACGATCTTATTGAAAATTAAGCTGCAATTTTCAATTGAGTCACATTTCTCTACCACATTAATTAATGCCTGCAAGAGTGCATTATTGCAGTTTAATCATACCATCCTTCTATAGATATATCAACTTGCATTAATTGGGTATAGACCCTGCAATGTGCAGTTGAATTATATAAGGGTTACTAATGACTTATATAAGACTTACTAATGACTTCTGTTAAGGACACTAAGAGATAATAATAAGTTAAATGATTATAGATTATTATAATTTATTTGTCAGTTCACTTACTAATAAAAAATGGATGAATTATTTTAATATAGCCATAAAAGAACAGAAGTTTAGATAAATGCATTTTGAGAAAAGAAACTGAATTATAAATTACAATGATAATTTAGAATCACTGTTTAAATAAGATGTCATATATACTCCTATTTTATGGATGGAACATATTGTTACCAAGGAGATTCATAGTGCCCCCTGTGCGAGAATAGATCTACTCTTCATCTATCACTGTACATATTTTACAACCAATGTGATCTTTTACAAGTAGATTTACATGCCATCTTTATGCAAACAACTACTCATACTTTTAGGAGATACCAACTACATATACATCCTAGATTACATACTGTAATTTTCAAACTATATATTGGTATGTGACATTAGAATAAAAGTCTAAAGTTAATTCCAATATGCAGCTAAGTAAAGTTAATTATAAAATTTGTAAATAATAAAATTCAAATAAGAAAGAGATTGGCGATTTTCTGTGAAATTACATCTATGCTATGGATTAATTTTGTGTGTAGCAGTTCATAAATCAGGGCGATATGATCAAAACCATAACTGTATACAGCAAGAGCAATAACACTTAGGTTTATGTATTGCTCCATAGTGCTTTATAGTATTCTCTAAGCAGTTTACAATATCAGCATACTTCCTCCAACACTCTGGGTCCTTATTTTACCGACCTCAGAAGGATGGAAAGCTGTTTCAAACTTGAGCCAGTCAGGATCAAACTCCTGTGGGCAGAGTTAGCCTGCAATACTACATTCTAACCACTGCATCACTACAGTTCCTTCTATGGTACCCAAGCTCTTCTTTCCTTGTTTTAGATAATTATCTGACTACATTTTCTTCATTGTTCAATTTTCTAGCTTTTGATTATTCTATATTATTCAGATATTTTCCTTATTTGCTTTCCACTTCTTTTTAATCTTCAAGCTAAAGAAACATTTTCTATAGGGCACAGCTTATCAATTTATCTTTGACCTAAGATACATTATTTAATATATGGTTAGATAAAATATAGGATAAGGTATGATTGAATAATTTATTTTTATGGTTCAGAAAGCTATATAATGAGGGTCAAATATAATCTCAAAAGTCATTCTATCTGTGTTTCTTATTATAATAATAAATATATTAAAATATTTTACTTTACTTGCAAACATTGTCTTAATAGGCAAATGTAATGCTATGACTTTAATTTTATCTCTTGCTTAATATTTAATATTTAATTTATTTTTTCTTTTTTTTATCCATTTGGACTTATTAGCTTATTTAATGTTTCAAAAAATGAGCTTCTGTTCAAGGATATAAGGCCCAGTTCATTCATATTCTCTTACAACTTGAAGATATGGAGGCATCCATTTCACAATTTACAAGCAGAAAGTGTTATCTACAAGAATGTATTTATTGTGTTGTTAATATTAAGCTTAAAGACTATAGGAAAAGAGAAGAATGCTTCCACATGCTAGCAGACTTTTAGCAGTATTAATTTTTGAGCTATTGTTTTGGTGGGGGAAGAGAGCACATATTATTTTCATTTGTTCCTCTGGAATTAGAAAACTCTCAACCTCTCACAAATAAACAATTTTTGGAAGTTATGAATGTTGCAAACTTTCATTAACATATTCCAACTTTTTCTTCAACTTTTCATCTGATTATTCTATAATGTTCCTATTATTGAGGTTTCTTTTTTGTGATGACAAACATCCCAAGAGATCTATGTGCCTTGCTTGCCTTTTCTCCATTTTTGTATGTCCTGCCACTGATTCCTATAACTATAGACCTACTTCTCTGAGTCTTTGAGTCCTGGCTCAGGATAGCTCTTATGAGAATTGTTTCCTTACGAGAAATAAAAAGAATATTTCATTTTGCTTAGTGGTCAGAAGTGGAGATTATTATTTGTTTGAGTCGGACAGTGAAGAAGAGGAGGAAGAGGAAGGAAAGGAAGAGGAAGAGCCTCCCAAAAGATCTGCTTTCCAGGTACTGTTTTCACTTGTATGGTATTCCTACAAACAAGATTGGCTACCGGATGTGCTCAAAATGGTGGCCACAAATTTGTGATCAAATCTATGCCTATTTTTTAATGGACATTGCCAACTTGACTTTTTGTCCATACCTTGCCTACAAAGGCAGTTTGATTGGTCTGAATTGTGATAAAATAATGATGAAATATATTGATTCTGTTTAACTGATTTTTGTGTACATCATAATTGTCATAGTTCTGCAATACAAGAATGATATTGGAGATGGCTTTCCATTCAATTATACATGTAGCCTGGTTATTTTTATTTTTTTTATTTCCTTAAATGTATTTTTTTAAATATATTAATAATAGGTTATTTAAAAACCTCTCAGTTTCCATTCCTTGATATTGTTTAAATGCCTTTTGCCTTGGGTGAAAAGACTACAGGTTTGAAGATAAACTTTTGTAAGCATAGATCTTTGAATAAATCTCTAGTTACAAATAAGGCTGACAATATATTGAAAATAAATGTATCTATCTTAGAGGAAATTAAGCCAATACTGTTTAGATATAACAGACTCCAGCAATCTGATTAATTTATGCATATTCAGATTCAGAACAGGTGCCCCTAGACATCAAAAGAGCAAAAATGTCAAGATAGGTTCACAACCAGAGCTGTCATCTGAATGTTTTGAACATATCCACACACCCATGGATTACCTTATCTGTATGTTCATAAAGTAGGGCAATCTGATATTCGGTGTATTCCATGGCCTAAATTCTTTAAAGAGACCATAGAGGTAAATTAGCATGGAAAATTATAGCATAGTCCAGGTACATGTGATCCTATCACATCTGCATCCATAATTGTACAGCTGGCTCTCAGTAAGATATCAGAAGTTTTTAAAATGAAGATTGGGATTATTTATTTAGGAGCTTGTGGTAAATTGAGCATGATAATTTCTATAAAGCGCTATATATTTGGATTGAATTCATAGAGCAGATTCACTCTACAGTATATACTTTACATTTTGCCTAACTAAATATTGTAATTTTTGTTTGATTATTAGTTTGACTTCTTTTTCTAACTATCCCAATCCAAAGAGACTTTAGACAGCCAACAATAGCAATATGCATGAATTAATCAATTCAGTTAAAACCAATCCATTTTTATTATATCCAAGCCTATGCTGTTATGGTGCCTATAATCAGTATGGGCCAAATACACTTGTTTATATGGACACTTGTTTGAGCGCTCCACAAATAGGGATATCATAGAGAGGCCTGAGTTATTGTCCATGCCTCATTGGTTTTGAAAGGAAGTAAGAGTCTCTCAACCTCTGTAGAAGTCCAGACCAATAAGCAAATTAAATTCAAATGAGATATTATTCAAAATAACCCACTGAATAAATTAAACATTTTAATTTTGGTCTAGAAGACTGCTGGTAAACAAAACAGAGGCTATAAAATAATTCTCCATTGTTAGGATTGTCCTTCCAGTAGTCTGGCTGCTGCATTTTGTATCAACTGCAGCTCATACAGAGAGTGTTGCATTAGTAGTTAATTTAACTGAAACTGTAATACCAGCTTCTCAAGCTATCCTTTATAGGACACATTAATTTTATTTTGTTACGATTGAACATATTTATTAATTTATATTAGCTTACATGATAAATACCAATTATAAAAGATGTATTGTTCATTTGAAACCTGGCAGTATTTTCTAGCTTTATCAGAGATGCTAGTTTAAAGTTCATGAGTTGAAAGTTATTTTTGTGTATTATGGATCCAAAAATTATATAAATATCCTGAGTTTATATTGGTTTGTCCTAAACTGTTCTATACTAGTTTTTCATTGTACCCTTCTTATTTATCTTGCAGCAGATGAATTAGTTTTTTTAAAAAAAATCTGAGAAATTATAGAATGGTACAGTATATATATATGTCTGTCATGAATTTTCTATCCATTCATAAAGATATTAGAGGCAAATACAAGGATGTGTAACTATAGTGGTGGATTACTAAAGATTCGTTTAGAATGTGCTTTCCTAATTCAGACTACTAATATATGATTGTTACTTGTGTAACTAAATCACTTTTATGTACTGTCCTGTAACTAAATCTAATGCACGGCAAAATTGAATGCTCAATTAACGTTGTTTTTAACTTAATATCAATCCTACTGCTAATAGAATTCTACAGTGTGTTTCTTAAAATATTAGCCTTTACAATTTCATTAATTTATCTTGCTTTGTCCTTCTTTGTAGAGAGCTATTGCGAAATTTGCTTCAGCCATTTTAGCCTTGCCAAAGTCTATTATTAAACTGCCCAAAACTATTCTTCAGTATTTAATCAGAGCTGCAAAGGTATTTGATATTCTATACCATGTAGAATAAGATCTTGTTCCCATTGTATTCTGCAAAGTATCCCTTTACTGCATTTTTCCTCTTAATATGAGTTTAAGGAGGTTTTGTGACAACCAAGGATTTGACTTAATGTTTTCAGTTAACCAACCTGATGCTGAGATCTCGATTTAGCTATAATGATAAATATCAGAAAGAAAATGCAAAGCCAAATCTTTGGCATAATCCTTGACTTTTTATCTAAACTGTATTAAACAGATTCCATCAAATTGCATGTATTTCTAGGTACTGGATAAATTTAGTAAAGTGGGATTTTACTCTATATGATAATATTTGTCAGAAAGATTGCACAAGAATGCAAAACAGAAGGTAGATTATAGAAAATTTGGGAGTCTGTATTTAAGAACAGCTAACCTAAAGCATCTCTGAATTTGTTCTGTCAAAAGTTGTTAATATATTGTAGAGAAGGGGTCTTCAAACTTGGTAACTTTAAGACTTGTGGACTTGTGGATTTCAAAGAAGACAGAACATTGACAGAAGCTCCCTCCTTTTTTTAAATTATTTTTTTTCTATGTACGTAAGTCACAAGCTCATATCCTATTTTATTTTTATGAAGTTAAATATTTTTTAAAATACGTATATTAATACACACCAAAGTGTATGTTATGCATTAAAACAGAAGTTTTAAATACAGTTAGGGCAGTGGTTGGCAAACCACGGCTCGTGAGCCACATGCTGCTCTTTGGCCCTTTGAGTGTGGCTCTTCCACAAAATATCATGTGCGAGCATGCATGTACAGTTTGATTGAAACTTTGTGGCCCATACGCAGAAGTCGGTTTTCAGCCTGGGTGAGTCTATTTTGAAGAAGTGGCATTAGAAGAAGTGGGGGTATCGGTCGGTCGGGCAACAGGAGATGCAGCGCAGGTGGGCCACGGGATACGCAGCGTAGGGAGGCACGAACGATTCATGCACAACTTGAGTGAGTCAGTCAGTCAAAAGTCTCATTGTGCAGTGGTTAGTCGCATCCGCAAATCACGCGTGGGTGACAAAAGTACCTACTTGAAGCATAAAGTTACCTGTATTTTACCAATCAGCTGCAAATCCTACAGGTATTTTTGTCATCAATTTTGGAATTATAATTATTTTGTGTTGGTGGCTTTATTATTATAAAATGAAACATTTTTAGGTGCCCTGCTTGAAATGGCTACAAAGAAGAAGCAAAGAAAAACGGAAGACAAAAATCGTGAATTTAAAGTTGAATGGACCAAGACTTTTGCGTTTATTCAAAACTTAAATGGCCTTCCGGCCTGTCTTATTTGTCAGGAAAAATTGGCACATAACAAGAAATCAAATTTGGAGAGACACTTTACAACTAAAAATGTGTCATTTAATACTAAATATCCTGTCGGTGATGCAAGGAAGAAAGCAGATGAGGAACTTCAGAAGAGTCAAGAAAAATCAAGTTCTGATTTAATTACTGGATGCAATCTTCCAACAATGTTAATATTGCAAGTTTTGTGGTTAGTCAAGAGGTTGCTAAGAGAGGAAAACCACATAAAGACGGCGAATACATAAAAAGTTGTTTTATAAATGCATCTGAAGAGCTATTTCGGGATTTTAAGAACAAAGTAGATATTCTAAAAAAAATTAAAGAGTTACCATTGTCTGCTAAAACAGTGAAAGATATAACAGTCAAAATGTCTTCGAATATAACCAACCAGCAAGTTGAAGATCTTAAATTGGTTTCAGCTTTATCAATAGCAGTTGACGAGTCTTGTGACATAAATGATACAGCGCAAGTTTCACTTTTTATTTCATCTACAGGTCCTAAGGAAGAACTTTTAGGATTATTGCCACTCAAAGGTTAAACACGTGGAGAGGATATAGCAAATGCTGTAATTGAGTGCATTGAAAAACATCATATTCCACTCGATAAAACTGTCTCAATTTCAACAGACGGGGCAAAAAGTATGACCAGCGTAAGAAATGGGTTTGTTGCTATTTTGAAAGAAAAAATTAATCACAAGATACTTACTTACCATTGCATCATTCATCAAGAAGTGCTTTGTGCTCAGACATTTCCAGAAGAAATTTGCAAAGTTATGGAATTGGTGATTAAGATTATCAACTCCATTATAGCTAAAGCTATAATCATAGCCAATTTAAAGAATTTTTAGTTGAAATGGAGAGTGAGTACACAGATCTTCTGCTGCATAACAAGGTATGTTGGTTATCAGGAAGAAACATTTTGAAATATTTCGCTTCCTTATTAACAGAAATTAAAGCATTTCTCCTTGAGAAGGGTGTTCACTATCCAGAACTAAAGAACGATCAGTGGATCCAAAAAATTTATTTCATGGTAGACGTTACGTCTCATCTAAATCAGCTTAATCGTAAACTACAGGGGAAAGGAAACACATTTTTTTCGATGTTAGAAGAAGTTATTTCATTCGAAAACAAATGATCTCTTTTTGCTCAAGATTTTGAAAGAGAAACTTTGATTCACTTTCCAAGCCTGTTGAAACATCACCAAGAAAATAATTCTGATATTGACATTTGCTATTTCAAAACAACATTTTTAAATATGAGGGGAGCTCTTCTCAACAGGCTTCAGGAATTCAGAAACAGCAAAGCGACATTAGCCCTTGTTAAAAAAACTTCTTAATGCTACTGTAACAGAATTAAATTTTTCTCCCTTTAAAATTGATATTGGCAACTTTGAAATGCAATTGCTGGATTTAAAAAACAAAGAATGGTGGAGCTTGAAATTTGAACGTCTTTGTGTTGATATAGAAACATTGGAGAAAAACAAATGTGAACTTAATTCACAGCACAAGTGGCCTGCTTTGAAAAACCTGGAGAAGGAAGATATGTTGATTTTTAACACCTGGAATAATATTCCTGACTCATAAAGTCAACTGAAAAAACTAGCATTTGCTGTTCTTTCCTTATTCGGGTCTACATATTTATGCATACAATCATTTTCAAGCATGAACCTTATCAAGAATAAATTGAGAAATCGTCTTATTGAGGAGAACCTGGAATCGTGCCTAAAATTAAAAACAACAACATACAAACCTGACTTACCCAAACTTTCCAAGGCCATTGTTCACATTAGTGTTCGTCAGTCATTGTCATGATTTAATTTTATGGATATTGTAAGGTAAATTGTAAGGAATTTAATTTTATCAATAAATAATATCATTATTATTATATCAAGTTTTATTCAACGTACCTATAGTTTAACAGACTTAAAACTTTAAGTAAAGTTTATAGGGTTAATATTAGGGAACGTTGTGGAGTAAAAGAAGATGTAGTGTCGAGGATTGAGAAAGGTATATTGAGATGGTTTGGACATATAGAGAGTATGAACGAAAGGAGATAGACGAAACAAGTATACAAGACGAGTGTGGATGGGAGAGTTGGAAGGGGTCGGCCTCAGCTAATGTACCTCAATCAGATTGAGGACGTTTTTAGCAAAGGCCAGTTTAGGAATATCCTAATTAAGTTAATAACAGTGTACCAACCTATATAGTTTAAGTTTAAAAAATTTGGCTCTCAAAAGAAATTTCAATCATTGTACTTTTGATATTTGGCTCTGTTGACTAATGAGTTTGCCAACCACTGAGCTAGGGTAACATTAGTGATTTATATAATGATGACATATTCTATCTAAGCATGCTTATCTTGTCAATAAACAATCTTCCGTTTATTTTCTCATCTGCTTTCCTTTGCATGCATCTATATATTTGTGTTGGCTACAGCTAATAAGTGTCATTAATAATACAGTGTTAGCTAGAAAAAGGTTTTCATTCTGCAGATTCATTTTTTTTAATCTAACAGTTATTACAGAAATATTTTATTAATCATATAAGTTATGGATTGGGCAAATAAATATTTAATACCAGGGAATAATAACATGAAAAACGTATTCCTGTTTTGAAAGATTTGGTCAATCATTTAAAAATAATTCCAGATATTGCCTAACTGGATCTGGTTTGTACTTGTATGACACTAAAGTTAAAATTAACTTGAACACTGTAGTCTGTATATAAATTATTGTTTCTTTTTCAGATTTTTTAACATAATTGTTACAGATGCATACCAAATTCATAAGAATCTATAGTTCTGCTCAAATGTTTTTATTTATCAAAGTCACAAATATTATTTGAAATATTTAGACTTGAATGAATCATTTCCTAAATGATTTATGTTTCCATAATCTCCCAATTCTAAATACATTTTCCAAATCTATATGCTTTTTGTTATCTGCTTAACATTTACTTACTAGAGAACATGAATAAATTTATTTTTCCCTTCTAGTTTCTTTATCAAGCCTGGATTACTGATCCTAAAACTGCCCTACGACAAAGGCGCAAAGAGAAAAAAAAGAATAAAAAAAGGCAGAAAGTATCTGATGATGGTATGCTTCAGAAATATTCTCAGTTATCTGTTAAGTATACAGGTAGCATTTTCTGCTCTGATTGTAGAAGAGCCATAATTTACATTCAGAAAATCACAAGTAGCTTCCATAGTTTTGCTGTGATCTCTAGTTGGGATTCTCAGGAAATTATGATTTCATGGAGTTTACCAATCAGGATGTAGTTCTTCAGTTTACTCACATGGAGTCTAGGCAGCCAAAAAATATTGAAATAAAGCCCAAGGGAATAAAGAAAGGAAACAGAATAAGGAACTTCAAGTTCAGATTGAGTGCCAGTCCAATTAATCTTTGTTTGCTAATTTATCAGTACTCGTCATGGGCATTATATAGACTAATACCGTTAAATGTCTATGGAGATCTTCAGTCATCCAGGTCATGGTTGTCCCAAAGGTGCATTTTCAAGAGGCAACTGGATTTTTTTTCTTTGAAGATGTTTCACTTTTCATCCACGAAGCTTTTTCAGCTCTGAAAATGGATGGGGAATGGATGGATTTATATTCCTTGCAGACAGCTGGTCATTTGCATTCTTTTAGAGTGTCATTGAGGCCACTTGGAGGTGTCCTCAGGGTCATCTGAGAAGTGCAAATGGATGTGAAGCCTTCTTGGAACTGCTGAGAAAACTGTGTTGTCATTGAGAAGTTGGAGCTCTGCTTTCTGCATGATGTTTGGGACAATTGGATGAACACCCTTCAAAAGGTGTGGGGATATGAATTAGGGACGTGCAGTCAGGGGAGGCAGGGGGAAAAAAGAAATTTTAAAATAATTAAAAAGGCTAAGGTAGTTGCTGCCAGACTCCAAGTCACAGTGACTCTGAGTCTGCTTAGTGCTAACTGTAGGGGGAGGCGAGAGAAGTATTGGCCTCCTTTGCATAAGGAATTTTTCACCTTTTAAGAGTTAAGCAAGGGTTAAAAGGCGAAAAATTCCGTATGCAAAGGAGGCACATGATTCTCCCGCCTCCTGATCTGGGAGCAGCAAATCATGCCTTGACAGCCTTGCCAAAGTAAGTTGCTTCTTTATTTAATTTTTTACACTTTCATCATGGCGGGTGGACAAGAGGAGAGTTGAAATCCACAGCTGGAAAAGGTATGTGGATCGGACGGAGGGAGGGGGGGATTCAAAATTATTTGTAATGTAAGTAATTGTAATTTGTTTTTATTGTGTGTGTGTGTGTGTGTTTGTGTGTTGTGTGTTTTATCCGCCTCTGCTGGCGCGCGGGCTGGCACATTTTTTTATTTTTAATTTTTTAAAGCCATGCCACCTCAGCCCGCCATAGAGCAAAACATGTCCTGGTTTGTGGCTGGGAGGCACGCTGGCACTTTAAAGTGCATGCCATCCGGCCACAAACCAGGACATGTTTCGCTGTATGGCGGGCCGAGGCGGCATGCACTTTAAAGTGCAGGCATGCCTTCCAGGCCGACCATTCAGCATGTCCTGCTCAATGGCCGCCCCAGAAGGCATGCCAGCATTTTAAAGTACATGCCGCCTTGGCCCGCCATACAGTGAAACATGTCCTGGTTTGTGGCCGGGAGGCACGCTGGCACTTTAAAGTGCATGCCGCTGCCCCACTGTATGGCCGTGGCAGCGGCATGCACTTTAAAGTACCAGCGTGCCTCCCGGCTACAAACCAGGACATGTTTCGCTCTATGGCGGACTGAGGCGGCATGCACTTTAAAGTGCCGGCATGCCTTCTGGGCTGGCCATGAATATAGCTGCTGCGGGGGGGGGGGCTTTTGAAGAGAGGAGGGGTGAAGGAAAGGGAGAATGCAGAGACGCCTTTCAGGGACGTCAAAGTGGCGGGAAACCAGCACCGCCACCAGAATCTAAAGCTTTTGGCGGCTCCAGACAGGTGAGGCAGGGAGCGGAGACCCAGGTGGTTTCCTTTGCTCCCCTGGCATTCATTTTTGCATTCCTGCATTCGCTGGACTTCGCGCTCTTCTCTGCGCCTCCCAGTGAGCAAGCGAGCGGAGATCAGCTGCCTGATCCCCCATTGCTCGCTCACTCGCTGTTTCGCCTGCCCAGACCGCTTCGGCGCTGCTCTGGCTACCTCTGTCCATCTGCGCCCGGCAGCTGCAGCGACATCATCAAGATGAAGAGCGAGAGGGAAGAGCCTGGCCAGGAGAAGGCCCCGGCGGCAGGACTTTAAAGTCTCAGAGCCGCATCCACCATAGAGCAGGACCGGGACCCGCTTTATGGCAGATGCGGTGTGGGACTTTAAAGCCCTGCCGGCGGGGCCCTGCCGCCACTTTAAAGCCTTTAAAGGCAGCCCAGACGCTGCAGCGGGGCTTCAGCGGGGCTTTAGCGCTTGCCTCACCGGCCATGAAGGTCACCGCACGTCACTGATATGAATGGATTATAAACGGACACAGATAAACCTCCAAGTGGCCTCAAGGACTCTCCAAAAAGAATGCAAATGACCAGCTGCCTGCCAGGAATATAAATCCTTCCCTTCCTCACCATCCAGTCAGAGCTGAACAAGCTTCCTCCAAGAGAAGCAAAACATCTTCAAAGAAAAACAAGAAAGTCCAATTGCCTCTTGAAAAAGCACCTTTGGGACAACTAAAATGTTAGTTTTGGTTTGTAAAAAAAGGTAGTATTGGTCACGCAATCAGTGCAAAGTATTAATTCAGCAGTGGGACATCATTAAAGAAGCTTCATATTATGGTTCAATAAATATATTTAATTATGTGTTCAATTAAAAAATTAAAAGGCAGTTGAAGTCAATAAGTCTAATTTTGCTCACTTCTTTCATTTTGATTTGTCAGTTGAAATAGATATGGAGGGTGCAGAAAGAGATGAACCTGTGAAAAGTAAATCTGATGGCCCTGGTAAGCAAAGAAGCAAGCTAAGTTTTCATTTTAAATAATAGCAGCTGATGGTAATTATCTCTAAAATAAAGATACAATATTGTATATATATATATATGTATACTGCAGAATTTACTGATATTTTTCTCTTCAAAGTCACTTAAAATTCTAAATGTTATATAATTCAAGCTAACTTCCATATATTAGTCTGAGTCTGACTTGTTCAGAAATCATTTTCAGCTAAAAGATATTGCAGTCATAATCCTTTTTCATACCAGTCACTACTTTTTTAACAGAAAAAATACTGCTAAGAGTGCAAGTAGTACATAGGGTAGAATATGTTTATTGTCTACAAAATGATTTTAAAGCCCAATGCAAAATTTAAGAAACATTTGGCAATAAACATTTTCGTAGAAGCAGAGCAAAGTTCCCAGCATCATCTAACAATTATACCAATAGATATTAAAATGAAATAAGTCTAATTCTGAAGTTTTGCTAATCACTAACTCTTGGAGATAGAAATTCCATAGAAAACAGTGTCAACCTGTGCACATCAAATGAAAAGTATGTTTTCCAGAGTTTGTTGAAACGTACCCTCAGATAATGGTTCTTGGACCTGATTTGTTATAACATTTGCAACTGTTTACTGTTTTGATTATCATTTTGTAAAGCATGTTTTCTTGTTTCTTTCCCAGATAATATTTTTAAAAGAATATATAACATTTTGAAGTTTACCTGGGTTCTTTTTCTGGCAACAATAGACAGTTTTACAGCTTGGCTAAATTCAATTTCAAGAGAGCACATTGATATCTCCACAGTATTAAGAATTGAAAGATGCATGCTGACTAGAGAAATAAAAAAGGTACTACAACATGTTCATTTATTTTTCATGATAGTGAAAAACAGATATGTGATCTCAGATTTAATTTAATTTACCTGTTAGAGGGCGGTTAGAATCTTATAAATAGTAGCTGCATTGTATTTTCTTCTTTTCTGACATGCTAAAATGAATACTTTTTGTTTTGTGCTTTTTGTGCTGTCATAGAGTACGGAAGAAAGTCTTAGGAGTGACATAGAAAGAAAACAATATTATATCACTCATGAGAATCTCATAATCATGAGATTGGTGGATTTTTAACTGACTTTACAACTCTTAACTTTGGGCTTATTTCTTTCTCTTTAAAAAAAGTTCTTACAAAACAATTGACAAACCAAGGAGAATAAAGTCTTTTTTCTACTGCCCTGATTTGTCTCCTAAATATTAGCCTGCTTAATTTCCTAAATTTTGCATTTTCCTTCTCAGGGAAATGTTCCAACTCGAGAGAGTATCCATATGTATTACCAGAACCATATAATGAAACTTTCTAGGGAATCAGGATTGGATGAAATTTATGAGCCTGGACAGGCTGAGAGGACTGCAAGTTTAGAATCAGCAGCTTCTCGTGACAGTGAATCCAGGTATTCTCTTACAATGAGCACAATCATTCTAAGTACATACAGGATGAATTTTATAAATTTTTAAACATCTAGTAATGAACTTACCTTGTAGTTGATGCTAAAGTAGCATAGAATATTGTACTATCCTATTTAAAAGATGATAGCCAACATATGATTTATTCTTCAAATTTCTTGTGTTAAGAGTATATGAAAGCAGCATGTTTCTATCTAATGAAGTATTTTTGGTGTGACTTTCAATAAATGTAGTACCAAAAAGTTCACACTTTTAATATACAATATCCTTGTATATTAAAAGAACACAAGACTCCACAAATTATTCTCAAATAGCAGATCCCTAAACACCGCGATCTATAGTAAAACTGATTCCCATATTATATCATATCATATTCCCATAACAATTTTTTGCATATTTTTACAAAATATTATTGCTGCAGAGATTTGTTCCATTTGAGAACTGACTCTGACCCTATGAGTATTTTTCATTTGAAGGAATTTCTGTGTTTGTTATTCTGTGCATAAAACCTCCATTTTTTAAGGCTGGAGCAGGTGTACAAAACACGTTCATATGACCCCAGGGTCCTATGATCAGATTTTGTGCAAAATTTTCTTAATTCATTTTAAAGAGAAAAAAATTTCTTCAAAAACTCTCAATTAGTATCATGAAAAATGAATATCTACTATCTATTTTTTAAAAACCTGCTGCTTACACATTATTTATATCTGGTTTGTTTCATTGTTCTCAGGTATGTTCATTTCTAAGTTGGAGAAAAACAAAATTAAAACCTCCCGAAATGGTTGTAGCTACACTGGGATAAAGAAATTGTATTTTTTAAAAACATCAATAATTGGAACCTAACATAATACAGCACCCTTTTAGTTTTAGTATAGACTATTTACAATAATTTTAATATATTTGGCTATATCTTTTTAAAATATTGATTTGTAGTGCCTGCTTAATGTACCTATAAGTATCTCAACTGCAACATTTTTAGCTACTGATCAAATTTTACTGATAGACTAAAAAAGCTAAAAATGATGCATTTTATCAATCTTACTAGAATGCAATGCATGGATTCCATTAGTCTTACACCATAAATAAGTATACATCCTAATTTCTCCTGGCTTCACATTTTGTTATTACTGATCTTGTGTGGTTATCCGAATAAGAATAGTCTACTTTGGCACCAAAAAGCTTGTTATCTTCCATTAAATCCTTTCTTGTCTATGTCTCCATTGGTATTTTGCTTGGCCAATCTGCACGTTCACTATTGAGCCACATCAGGATGCCATTGGTATATAACATTGTCTTTGTAATTGTTTGCACTGATAGCTGCTGTACGGAAGCAACTACACTGTTGTTGTCCAGGCAATCTACCCTTGATGATTTAGATGGTCCAGACCCTATTCCTAAAACAAGTGAACGTGCACGACCTAGGCTTCGTAAAACATACAGCATGGATATGTCCTCCTCATCTGCTGACAGTGGCAGTATAGTATCAAGGTGCTTAATCCTTGCATGCTTTTCACTCAATTATCCCAACCACTGATATATTTTGTCAATATAAAATGATGTTTGTGTTTTTAAAAGTAAAACTATTGGCATACTCATTGGAAGCAATTCTGTCTTGTTTTGACTGATAGTAATATGTCGTATATGTCATTTTCATACCTTCCCTTTAAGCCTTATATTTTTTTGCTTTCTCAATTATATGCCTGTTTATAATTTTACTTTTTAGTTAAACTGAGAGCTTGGAATGCTGCATTCAGATGCTGATTTATGATTCTGATTCTCTTCAATTAACATTATTGCTCACAAAAACAGTGCTCAAGACATAAAGGGTCTTTTTAAAGCAGAGAAGATACTGTAGATCCTTCATTGTATGATCCCAATTCATTTATGCATTATAAAATATATATCATGAACTTGTTCTTCAGACGCAGGTAATATGTAACAATAAATTAGAAAAAATACCTTAAAGTACATTAAAATAAAACATTTCATAGTATACAACATAATTATACAATCCCAATGGTAGTTATTAATTAATGAACAAAATCATAATAACTTCTAAAATGCCGAAACAAATCAAAACTTTTTCAACATGAAAACATTTGGGGAATGTGAATATTTCCAAAGCTGAACTTGTCAAGTCCACACTGAGATAATAGTGAAATCCAATGTAGAATCAACAACTCAATTTTAATTTTTTAAAAAGGGGAATAAACATTATTTGTAAAGTGAGATATTGACAAAGATATTCTTCCTTATTCTTGACAGTGAGGCTACTCAAGTCACTATGCTATATTCCCGTCAGGGGACGGCAGAAACTATTGAAGAGGTTGAAGGGGAGGACCATGAAGGAGAAGACGCAGAAGCTGAACCCATAGAGGAACATGAAATGGAAGATTATTGTATGGATTCTGAAGGAGCTGCATATATTTCTGATTCAGATATGCCATCCTATTCTGGTTTGGATGGCATTGCTGAACCCCCTCCATCATATAGCAAAGCTGTGAGCTTGGAACTTTTCCCCTTAGATAGTTCCCAAGATGATTCATCTAGCAGAAACCAAATGATGGTGAGCCCAGATGAAAATCAGTCTGAAAAACCAGAAGATTCTATTCTTCCTCCTTTGACACATGAACTGACTGCAAGTGAATTACTACTTAACAAGTAGGTATCTATGATTAAGTATGCAAGTTAGTTACAATGGTGATGAAAATTGGTGAAAACATTTGGCAGTTGGGGATTTTTCCTGTTTATTTAACAAGCTGAATTAATTTGACATTCACCTATCTTTTCAAATGCCCTGATTTAATTGGATTTCCTTAAATGTAATTAATTCATGTAGTACCAACTTTTGTCTTGGCTTAAAAATAAGCAAGCTGGGGTATAGTTTATAGCTTGATCAGTGAAAATAGTTGCATAGCTCTTGAGCAATACTCTATTATGTAGAAGCATTGTTATTATTTAACAAGAGCTGTGGTGGAGCAGTGATTACAATGCAGAATTGCAAGCTAACTTTGCCCACACCCTGAAATTTGATCTTGACCAGCTCAAGGTTGACTAAGCCTTCTATCCTTCTAAGATTGGTAAAATGAGGACCCAGATTTTGGGGGGCATGCTGACATTGTAAATCACTATAAATCTAAGTGCTTTTGCTATTACTTACAGATTATTCTCCTGCCGTAAGTAGGGATTGGACTAGAAAACTTCCAAGTTCCCTTCAAAGTCTATTATTCTATGTTATATATTCTAATTAAAAATATTTACCATATTTTTCAGAATATAAGATCCACCTTTTCCCTCAAAAAAGAGGCTGAAAATCTGAGTGTGTCTAATACACTGAATACAGCAATTTTTGCCTCCCAAAACCCCACCCCCTTCACCAAAATGGCCACGCATAGCTTTTAGGAGGCTTTCAGAGAGTTCCTGGGGGATGGGGAGGGCAGAAATGAGCAAAAGACGGGCTGTTTTTTTGCTCAATTTTGCCCTCCCCCCTCTAGCCCTCATGAGCACTCTATAAGCCTCCTAAAGGCTATCCATGCCCTTTTTTGGATAAAAAACAGGCCCATTTTTGCAAAAAATAGGCCCTTTTTTGCTCCTTTTGGGGAGGGGCCACTCCCCAGGAGCACTCCATAAGCCTCCTAAAGGCTATTCATGCCTTTTTTTGGGGGGGGGAAACCGAGCCCATTTTCGAGAGGTTTGCAGAATGCAAAAACCTTTTTTTTTAATTTTCCTCTTCAAAACCTTGATGCATCTTATACTCTGAAAAATACAGTATATATAATTATCCTATTAAATTATGGGATCTAATTTTATTCCTACAGAATGTTTCAAGATGAAGAACTAGATGAATCTGAGAAATTCTACTCTGGTCAACCTCGACATTTGCTTCTTATTTATGCGCTATATAATACACTTGTAGCCCGCTCAGAAATGGTGTGTTATTTTGTGATCATTCTTAATCATATGATCTCTGCCTCCACAATTACCCTTGTGCTTCCTATCCTCATCTTCCTTTGGGCAATGCTATCTGTTCCAAGGCCTAGCAAACGTTTTTGGATGACAGCTATAATCTATACCGAGGTATGTCGTTAGTCAATAGTTGTTGAACAACCCTTTCAATGTTACAAGAACTTTGTCTTCATTTCTAGTTTAGAAAGAGACTGGAAGCCTGTGCTTTCTGATTTGAACTAACTTCAATTGTTTCATTTAAGCCTGGGCAAGCTGTAATGTATTTAAATTACAATCAATTCATGGCTTTGGATTCTAACTTTTTTAGTAACCAGTAGTGTCACCTAATATAATTCATGGTTAAATGTAATGCAAAGTATGCTTTGGGTAACTATTCTAGAAAGCACATGCAGTCTTTCTTGTAACCCTGATGGAGGAGGGGGAGAAAGGAGGTACTCAAGTTTGAATAATCTTGCTTAATGCTAAATTACCACAGTGTCTAAACCACAAGGAACTGTTTTATGCACAAAAAAATTCATAATAAGTAAGTTGCTTGAGCTACAATCTATCTGTTCATGTTGTTAGGCCTAATTTCCCCACATTTCTTATATTATATTAAAGGCTTTTCACCAGGCTGGTACCTAGGCGGTTCATGCAAGCCAGAGATTTTTCTTAAGAATATCATGCAGCCCGAGATTGCCTTTCCTAGGACAATTGAAGTTATCACATTCAAGCACCCAGATACTTCTGGATAATTATTTTACTTAAAAGTTTATGTCAATAAAATATCACTAAAAGTAATTCTGGGCACTAATAAAAATTAAAGCAATAAATAAGGCAAAAACATTAAATCAGTGCTGTTGCAGTGCCATACTGAGGCCTAAAACCTGACTGATGGGAATCTATATATTTCACTTCTCCAAGGGTCCTCTGAAGTTGTAGCCTGACTGCCTCAATTTTCTTTAAATTGTCCAAAATGGTGGGTTTAATGAGGACTGCTTGAAAAGGGGCAGGCTATCACCTCTATATACTGTATATTGAGCTGGGATGTGGTGGCTCAGTGGCTAAGATGCTGAGCTTGTCGATCAGAAAGGTTGGCAGTTCGGCAGTTCGAATCCCTAGCGCTGCATATCTGAGTGAGCTCTTGTTACTTGTCCCAGCTTCTGCCAACCTAGCAGTTCAAAAGCATGTAAAAATGCAAGTAGAAAAATAGGAACCACCTTTGGTGAGAAGGGAACAGTGTTCCATGCTCTTTCGGCATTTAGTCATGCCAGCCACATGACCACAGAGACGTCTTTGGACAGCACTGGCTCTTTGGCTTTGAAACGGAGATGAGCCCCCTAGAGTCAGAAACGACTAGCACATATGTGTGAGGGGAACCTTTACCTTTACTGATATATTGGTGAAACCATTCCCTCCTTGAGCTCTGGTGGCGCAGTGGTGTTGCAGGAAAGCTCTTCCCACAGCCTGAAGTTGAATCCTAATGGGGCTGAAGGATGACTCAGCAGTCCATTCTTTCAAGATTGGTAAAATGAGTTGTTGGGGGCAATATGGAAATGGTGCCTTTATACTGTAAGCCTCCCAGAGAGTAAGGTGCTATGGGACAGTATATAAGCCTAAATGCTATTGCTATTGAAGAACACATTTACCACCAAAGCTGCCTTGCACATGGGTGCCCAGCTCCAACTTCCTCAAGATGGATAGTTGCCTGTGATCCTCGAAACAAGATCACTGTCTGCAAGTGTATTAAGGACAGAAAAGCAATTATGCTTTGCCACCCTTACTGCCATGAGATAGCCCTTCTTAGCTGCTCTGAGTCATGCTGAACTGGATTCACCTCGTGTTATCCCCTAGCACAGGGCTGTCAAACTCAATTTCATTGAGGGATGCATCAGGATAGTGTTTGACCTGGGCGGGGCAGAGTGGGCATGGCTGGGGTGGGAGTGGCCAGCTCAATGTCACTCGTGTCAGTGCCTGTGGCGCCCGAGTGCTCTGGCAGAGAAAGCGAGGTCCCAAGCTCCATTTTCAGATGTGACGGCCTCCTGCAATCCTCTGACAGTAAAAATGAATGCGGCCCACCCATGCTCCATTTTTTCTGGTAGAGGCACCATGGACCAGTCCTTTGCTATTTCCAGGGTGGCCCGGTGGCCAGATCTAAGTGCTCCATGGGCCAAAGGCCCCCGGGCCTTGAGTTTGACACCCTGTCCTAGCAGCATTCTAGGCATCTCTTCCTTCATTTCATCTACTTAAACTCCTCTTTAAACCAAGAAGTGAGAGAGAAGCTGGGTAAACACAAGCCGTGCATTCATTCCAAGAGGCAAATAAGGCTTCAGCCAGGCTGTGTGCCAAACTCTCTGGAGCAATCCCAAGCTCTCCCCAGAACCCATATCAAGTCAACCATCAGAATATGTCCATCGTCCTTGCTTCAGGGACACACACACAAAGGCATTTTCAAAGAATGGCAAAGATTTTAGCATTTCCCTTTAAAATGTGTGGGTGTACCTATATGTGTGCACATGCACACATATGTAGGCACAAATATTTTTAAGGGAGGCTACTAAATCCTTTGCCATTCTTTGCCATTGGAAGAGCTTCTATTATTCTCAGCACCAATGACTTTAAACCTAGTCTAAAAAAATTGAGAGGCTGTACTAAAAGCCTTACAGATTCAGTATAAACAAAAATACTAGCAAAGCTCTGCATCTGACCAAGGGAATGGCAAATGCATATTTTTGTCTTCAGTCCAGCATCCCTTTTCTTCCTAGGGTCATTAAAAATAGTACAAAGTTGTACCAGGCCATTTTCCAAGCTTCATGTTCCCCTTTCTCTTTTTTCCCCCCTTATCTGAAATTCCTAATCCTGTAAAGGCACATGTTGGGTCCTCTTTTATTTTTTATTATTTTGTTTTACAGCAGTGCTTCAGAATGTTGGGAACTTCTTTGGTTCACAACTGAACCAAAAATAGTTTTAAAACTGGAAGTGCAGATGGACAATCACTTTACATTATAGAGATCATCAGTCACACCCATAACCACTCACTATGAGATCCACAGGTGGAATGCCTCCGATAGGTGTCTATCCATTCTCTCTTTGAAACCGCTGGCAAAGAGAATCCATCACTGCATGTGAAATCTTGTTCCACATGTTAGACTGATTTTGATAAGGGCTAGAGAACAATAATATTGTCTGTCTGTTTTGAGAAATCTGTTAAGAAATCTACTGGTGTCAGCAACAATGAAAAAACAAGGCAAGGGATTAGTAATACCGAAGCAGGAAATCAAGTTTTCCTTGTGAATTTTGTGGAAGCATATTGGATTTCCTTAAGTGTTATACATCTAACTTAGATCTTGATTCCCATTCTTTATTGTCCTCAAGCATAACAATTTTGTTAAAAAAAACTGGATTTTGTTAATTTTTCTGTTTAATATGAAAATGATTAATTTTCTCTCTCTCCCCTCCCCCAATAGGTTACAATAGTGATAAAGTATTTTTTCCAGTTTGGATTCTTCCCTTGGAATAAACACTTAGAACTAAAAAAAGATAGACCTTATTTTGCTCCTAATATTATTGGCATTGAGAAGAAAGAGGGTTATGTGCACTACGACCTTGTTCAACTACTTGCTTTGTTTTTCCATCGGTCCATTTTAAAGGTATATTTTTGTTTGTTATTTTGTTTTGGAGACAAAATAGTAAAACTGTCAGCATGTATACCTTCCAGCATACCTGACTTCCATTCTTTCTGTTTTTAATAAAATAGTGCTCCACTATACCAAAAAAGAATAACTTACTTCATGCTTGATTCAAAAATGCATGAGGGTACCTACTTTCTTTTATTGGAAAGCAGCTCTGTGCAAGGGTTCTTGAATTACTCAGAAGTTTCATGCTCAATTTATTTCTCAATCTCTCAATCTCAGTGTTGAATCTGTGGAAAGGGTTTATATTCTCTAATTTTCATAAAGTCCTTTGCCTTTCTCAATTACTAAAGAAATCTCTGAAGATAAGCATTTTACACTCTCCCAGTGTTGTAAAAAGCAGGTTGGGCAAGAAGAATGTGTCCCTCAGCTGAGAAAAATATTTGCAAATGTGTCTTTTTGTGCATATGGTATGTATATGAATGAGTGTGCGGAATGTGTGAGGACAACAGATCCTTGAGGCCAGGGAAAGTCAAACTTCAGTCACCTATTAGTTGTCTAACTCTTCCCTAAAGGTCACAGCACACCATTTCAAGTATAATCATCCCACATACTTTCAAATCCAGGAAAATTAAACAGCATTTCTGAAAATAAAAATTGATTATAGCACAGAAGTTATTAAAATGAAATTCTTTTGTAATAATGTTATCAGAGGTTAGATGACAAGACTAAAGCCAAAGCTTTGTATGAAGTGAAACAATATCCAAAACACTCAATATCTAACTATAACAAATAATGCCATTAATTCTGAAGATACCTTAATGTTGTTCTTTTTAGTGTCATGGATTATGGGATGAGGAAGATGGAGGAGACAATGGGAGTAATAAAGATGACTCAGATGATGAGTTGGCTGAATCATATAGAAGAGATTCCGCTGACTCTTTGACGTCAGTCAATTTGGCAGCATCTGTTGAATCCATACATGTCCATTTCCCAGAACAGCAAACCGCCATCCGCAGGAAAAGTTCAAGCAGTGGCTCACATTTGTCACAGAGATCCAGTTTCTCCTCTCACCGTTCAAAGCGAGGTATGACAGGTGGCATCGGGATTCTAAACTGGCCTGTTTTGTAGTTGCCTAAGCTTTTCTTTCAAGAAAGAAAGTAGCAAAGAATAACCATTAAATCATAAGCAACAATGACACTTATATTAAAGAAAGCTAAGCTTAGATAGTTATTATAATATGTTGACCTATTATTTTCTTTGAAGAACTATTTCCTCCCTACAAACCTGACATTATTTTAGGAAAATATTAAAATATTGGAATGTTAGAAGGCAAAAATGTCTTGTTAAGAATATATTTAAGTACCTTTAATTTATGATGTGGCATTTTTATTTTTAAGGTATTTGTTGTGTTTTAAAATTCATAAGATACCTGAGTTATATCTTAAAAGGTAATCTAGGAATTTTAAAGTTAATGCAGAACTCCCTACCTTAAAATAAGTTTTATCTCCTTGACAATATTTTTAAAGAACACTATGCTATAAAATTATGTATATAAATTTACAGTTTAAGATTTATATATTAATCTAAATGTATAGAAGAGAGCCAGTTTGGTATAGTAATTAAAGCACCACACCAGAATCCAGATGACTGAATTCTAGTCCCCTTTCAGGCGTGGAAAACCTGTCCGTGACTTTGGGTAGGTCTTTCAGACTAACCTGCCTCACAGGGTTTTTGTTGGGATGTAACAAGAGGAGAATATTAGGTATATTTTCCACCTTGAGTTATCTAAAAAAAGGCAATAGCAATAATGAAATAATATGAAATAACTTTAGAACTACAATGTGAAGCCCTGGTACTCTCTGAGCTTGGTTGTTATTTGCCAGCATTTCATTATCCAATCAAGTCACATCTAATAGCAATAGCAATAGCACTTAGACTTATATATTGCTCCATAGAGCTTTACAGCATTCTCTGGGCAGTCAGCATCTTGCCCCCAACAATCTGGGTCCTCATTTTACTGACCTTGAATAGCTGAATCGACCTTGAGCCCCATCCAGCTCAAATTCCAAAGTAAGGGCAGAGTTAGCCTGCTATACTGCATTCTAACCTCGGTTCATTATATAATTAAAAGTTTTCCGTTCCCTAGTTGCTGAATAATGTGAATGAAAGGTGGATTTTCAAGACAGAAGAGTGCATCAGCATGTTTTTGCCTTTTTCGTCTTCACTACAACTTAAAATGACCCCAAGCACAGGAGTAATCATAACCTGAGAGAGATTTTCTGTTTGCTTTGTTTGATAAAAGGGAATTCATCTTTTGTTTCACATTTTGATTCTTGCTTTTTCTTATTAATTGTAGTTTAAAGCAATCTATTTTTTCCAAGTGTGGAAAAAGAAAAAGGATATGCAGACCCAGATTTTTTTTTCGTTTTCTTTTGAGCTTTCCCTTAGAAATGCAATAATTATTTCTCCACTTGTATTTTCAGGAAGTACCAGCACACGCAACAGTAGTCAAAAAGGAAGCAGTGTGTCGAGCATAAAAAGAAAGTCAAAAAAAGAGCTTCTGATGGAAAAACTGAGAGAACAATTTATCATTGCAAAGGCATTTACAATTAAAAAGTGAGTAATTACACATATTAGATTTATTGAAATAAATGCTGAATCCAGAACATGTTCAAAATGTTCTAGGATTGAGGAAGGGGCCAGAAGGAAATCTGTATCCATTTTATGACACTAATGAACTCCAGCCCATCATTGATTGCTAAGGCAGACCTATATGCTTGATTGCCATATAGCAAGAAAAGTTTTCAGGAAAATGGGAAACAGATTTTTTTCCATCCGGTGTATTAGGGATACATTCCAATACTAAATCACTTAGACTTAAATTACCTTATTTCCTTTCTTCTTTCCTCCCTCCCTTCTTTCCTTCCAGCAATAAATACAAACAGTCCACCATCAAACTATTATTTTAAGGTTATCTTGTTTCTAACAACATTAATAAATCATTTTCTGTATATATGAAGAATATATCAGGCATCGATAGCGGTATCAAGTTTCTAATGTTCCTCTTTCATATCAAGACTTGAAGTTCTTTGCTTGCTTTAAATTATATGTGCTGGAAGAAATGAAATATCCTAAAATAAAGGAAGCTAATCTGTTACTTTGATAATTTATATATCTGGAGATACAACTCCCATGGAAATTTTAATCCGAAACATTGTAAATGGAGTCCTACTTTTTCCTTGGAGGAATCAATTATAGGCAGTTATTATTTAGTGACTACAATTGGAATTGGCAATTCCATTGCTAAGTGAAGCAGTCGCTTAGTGGGAAATCATGCCACTACAGCTGCACTTTCTGGCTTGAAACTAATCAATTTCACACGTTTTTGCTTTTGTTTGCTTCCTACAACTCCTCTATCTTTTGGAATTCCCCCTCCTGCATAGGTATAATTAACAAAATGAGAAATAATGTTTGCATTTACATTAATTGGAGAAAAGATTACAAGAGAGTAAGCAGGAACACAATGTGGAATATACATTGAAATAATGTGCTGACTCCAGCAACCACCAGCACACTATACAAACAGCCTGGTAAATTCCCCATTATTTGACTGCTTACTTTCTTGTAATCCCTTCCTCTCCAATCTCTGCTTTGCAAGGTGATAAAAACCACAAGTCAGACCCAAGTCAACACTTACTGACTGTAAGGGCAATCATGTGACACCGAAGGTTGTAAATGATTGTAAACTTTGAACGGTTGCTAAATGAATGGTTGATAGGTGAGGATTATCTGTACATTGATTAGGATCAGATCAAGAGAAAAATATTTAAGCCCACCTTTGCATGTTTTTATTAAAATGAATTCTGTTATATAGTTGCCTCTACCATTGGAGACAGGAATAGACCAAGAGTGAAGACAATCAAGGCCTCCATATTGCGTTGCATATAGTATCTGTGGAGCAACTAATGAAATTCTAAGCATGTGCATTTTCCCACAAAATTACTTTGTAACAATGACAGTGACTTTTGTATTATTTCAGGACACTTCAAATATATCTGCCCATCAGACAGTTTTTCTACAATCTTATCCATCCGGAATACAGTGCTGTGACAGATGTTTATGTGCTGATGTTCCTAGCTGATACTGTGGACTTCATTATCATTGTCTTTGGATTCTGGGCTTTTGGGGTATGTTCATAAGAATTGATGTGCTTGAGTAAATATAGTTATTTTTATAACTATTATTTTTATAAGAAATAATTTTGCTTCCTCTGTTTTCTTTCTATTTTCTTCGCAGAAACATTCTGCTGCAGCAGATATTACTTCTTCATTATCAGAAGACCAAGTCCCAGAGGCTTTCTTAGTGATGGTACTAATTCAGTTTGGAACCATGGTAGTAGATCGGGCACTGTATCTGAGAAAGACAGTCATGGGGAAAGTAATCTTTCAGGTTATCCTTGTCTTCGGCATACACTTTTGGATGTTCTTTATCTTGCCCATTGTGACAGACAGGTAAACGCATTGTATTTAAATGATTTTATTTGCTACTTTCACTATTTATTACTTTTTAAAAAGTATCCTGTTCATCTGCATAATGATAAAATTCATCTCTTATGAAGGATTGTATTGAATAAATGAAAAAGGCAAGCGATGTGAAAAGAAATGAGTTTAGATTTACCACATTTAAATAATATCAAACACATTCTATGAAGGCATATAAAAATGCATTTGTTTTCTTGATGTCTGTTTTGTGTTACAGGAAATTTAGTCAAAACATAGTCGCCCAGCTTTGGTATTTTGTGAAATGTGTTTATTTTGGATTATCGGCATATCAGATACGTTGTGGCTATCCAACCCGTGTACTTGGCAATTTCCTCACAAAAAGTTATAATTACGTAAATCTGTTTTTATTTCAAGGGTAAGCCTCTGAGTCTGGTATAATATGTCTTTTTTTTCTTTACAGTTCCATTTTTTTATTTACACTTTCTTACTATTCTCCAAGATTGACTCGTAACAAAGTCATATTATCATGCCACCTTAATGTTTTCTTTAATTTGGAAATGCTATATTATTTGATAATATGAATTAGATGGACACCATTAAATTTATGCTTGATCATGAAATCAATTTAATTCACAAATGGACCAATTATAATCCTTGTCTATATACTACTCAGAAGTAAAAAGGAAACACTTTTTTGAACAAAATCTTCTCATTTCTTATACGAGGGAAGAGAAAATAGGGGCATCATACTCTTCTTGTACAGAAGATTTTAGAACATTCTCATAGACAAATGGAACATTTTAGCTAGTCTTGGTCCTGGTACATGAATGGTGTTAGAACTAAATTGTAGGTCATCCTATGTCTACATAAATCAGTTCTAAACATTTAAATAAATCTATCTCCTTTTTTTTGGGAGGATTATGTTTTTATTGCAGTAAATTAGGGAAATAATGCTTCCAAAAGTGGTAGTGATGATCTGGGGGTTCTTTGGAAGCCACAAAATGGAAGGCATGAACTGCAAGGAAGTCACAAAATGGAAGGTGTGGTCTGCCTTTGATTCATACAATGAAAACCACAGACTATTCCAAGCTAAAACTGATTTTTCTCCTTTGATAGGTTCCGCCTAGTCCCTTTCTTGACTGAATTGAGGGCAGTTATGGACTGGGTTTGGACAGATACCACATTAAGTCTTTCCAGTTGGATCTGTGTTGAAGATATTTATGCTCATATATTCATTTTAAAGTGCTGGCGAGAATCAGAAAAAGTAAGAAATTTATTTAAGGATTTATTTTTTCTTTGCAATCTTATAATCAGGAAAAAGTTCACCATGTACAGTGTCTAAGAGAAATGTGATCATATTTCTCATCTATCCGTATTAGATTAATAATGTTTCAAACTTCCTAGAATTGATGGGATTGCAATATTAATCTCATTTTTAACCTCCATTCACAGGCACTTGTTTCTGTGTGTTCTGTTTCAGTCAGTGATGTGCAGTGAGATTTATGGCTGGTGAGACAAGCGGGCAAAAGCCGCCCTATGTCTGCCGCCCTATGTCTGCCGGCGCCAAGGCTTCGGCGCGGCTTTCGGAAAGCCGCGCCAAAGCCCCAGTGCAGCTTTCCGCCATGGAGCGGGACTCGTCCCACTCTATGGTGAACGTGGCGGCATGGCTTTAAAGTCCCGGTGCCACACCAGCCATAGAGGGGATGTGTCCCACTCTATGGCCGGCGCGGCGGCATGGCTTTAAAAAATAAAAATAAAGTGCCAGCCCGCACGCCAGCAGAGGTGGGTAAAACACACACACACACACACACACACACACACACACACACACATTACTTATAATAATACAA